CCATGAGCACAACGCCCAAATTTTTCGAAATGATCCGGAACACCTATGGATTATTAACTTTTTATCAAAAGAGTCAGTGTTTGGTAAGTATTATTAAAATTCAACCAAAGCTAAAGTCAGCCGTCTATATCTGTTGCCAGCCACACAGCGTCTGTAATATAACGACAGTAAGCGCATATGGCAAGGTATCAAATGAATTTGTGGGACCAGAAGCAAAACTCCAGATTGTGCAACAGATTTGGACAGTGTAAATACAGGAATTATACGCTCATCAAACGACCTTCTCATGCCAATTACTTTGGAGAGTGAAGTTCAAGTAGAGAATATTTCAATAGAAGAAATTTTCAAGCTTCTGTGTACCACAAAATCATGTCAAGAGTTGGTCGCGAGGGTCTTTCATTTTCCCTTCTGAGATATGAAACCAATTCGCTTAGTGAAATATCAATATTATTCATAAACACTTCTGAAAACACCTACTCCATACCACGTTACTGGAGACCAGTAACATTAGTTCCCTTGTCAGTGTTGGTGTGTTCTTCGAGCTACAAGTGTTGCTTGCAAACGTTTCCCCGAAGCTGTACTGATAATGTTGCCCAGCCTGACTACGAAACGCCGGCAAACAAAACTTCCAATCAGGAGTATATATCAACACGAACATCCGCATCTCGCGCTACCATCAATTCACATCACGTTCAAAATTTCCTATTCCTAAATCCTCTAATTTTACCGTTCTAACCAAAAGCCTCCAATCAGTCACTTTAACTTTTGTCGGTCCTAACCTAGCAGAACGTGGTATTCTAACATGCATCCATTTCTCTCTTGCTATCCCGTTTGACCCTCTTTGGTTTGCCATTCCTTCGGATTCAAACCACGACAAAGCGCGAAAATCCCGTAAACGCCAGCTCATCAAGAGTCTGAGGAATGACCACGAGAAGTGGTGGGTAGGAAAGTGTAAAGAGATGAAGAAGGTTGCGGCTATTGGTAATAGTCGCAATCTTTTTCGTTTAATTACGAGTACAGATCCACGGAAAGCAGGCGTAAGTGAGGTAACTAAGAAGTCCGACGGCACACTGATCCATATTCAGCAACGCCGTCTAGATCGGTAGGCAGAACGTTTTAAGGCTAAGTTCAACTGGCCCTCGTCAGCGCAAGAACTCCCTACACCGGATTCAACTGTGCAAATACTGCCAGTTGACATCAGTCCTTCATCTGAAATACAGATTACCCGAGAAATAAGCTATCTCAAAAGGCATAAGGCTTCCGGCCCCAACCGGCTGTCCCCATCGGTTTGAAAGGATGGGGGTCTAGCCTTTGTTTTGAAGTTAAGAAAACTCCTGGGTTCAGTGTGGGAAAAGGTTCCTACTGAATGGTGTGAATCGATGATCATACCGATTTACAAGAAGGGCGACAGGTCCTCTTGTGAAAACCACACAGGAATTAGTTTAAATAACACTGCCTCTAAACTTCTCGCTGGGAGCATACTCCGTCGATTGTCTGCCGCTCGTGAAGAGTGCAGACGTGAGAATCAGGCTGGTTTTAAACCTGGTCGAGGTTGCATCCACCACATCTTAACTGTTCATCAAATCCTAGAACACAGACACTCTTTTCGTAGACCCAATATTTCCATCTTCCTGGATCTTTAAGCGGCTTTCGACTCAGTCCAACCGCTCTTAACTCTGGCGCTGCCTTTCCCTGAAGGTTGTGCCCGAGAAGTTTATTTCAATGTTACAATCCATTTATACTAACAGCCGAAGCCGAGTCCAAGCTTATCGCACGTTTTCACCCGAGTTCACTGCAGAATGTGGTGTTCAAAAGGTTGTCCTCTCTCTCCTTTTCTATTTAGATTTGTTAAAGATTTAATTCTTGAAACAGCCCTATCCTCGTGCAGGGATGGCGGCATCGATTTACTCCCAGGTGGCAGAATGTCTGATCTAGAGTTTGCAGACCACATTGAGCTACTAGGTGAAGATTCAGGTAAGTTGAAAGCATTTCTGGATAGTTTGAGTGCTGGTGTAGCCATGTTCAATATACGTTGTGCACCTTCAAAGAGTAAAATATATCTATAAGACTGGGTTGGCCCAGTCCCCAGCCTCACTCTGACCGGGGAAGTTGTAGAGAAAGTAGACAAGTTTTGCTATCTGGGCAGCTATATCTCTCTTGGCGGACGCATCACGGATGAAGTGTCAGTGCGCATACAGAAAGCTTGGTTGGCATTTGCCAACTTGAGACATCTGTGGCGCCGTCACAACATCTGGCTCTCTGTGAAGGGTCGAATATATGCTGCAGAAGTTCGGCCAGTGCTGCTTTACCGTGCAGAAACTTGGCCATTACGGGAACAGGATAAAAATAAATTGTTGGTGTTCGAACACCGCCGTCTACGTAGCATTGCACGAGACTGGCGGGGAAACCGGATGAGCAATGCTGGGGTTGGGCGTAGAGTTTTAAATAATAGAGGTCATCCACTAGAGCAAGTGATCGACCTTCATAGATTACGCTGTTTAGGACATGTGTTGGGCATGTCACCAAATAGGTTTTCATGGTGAGCGATGGTTGCGGAGGCAGGTAGCGGTTGAAAAAAGATAGAGGGAGNGTCATCCACCGGAGCAAGTGATCGACCTTCATAGATTACGCTGTTTGGGACATGTGCTGGGCATGTCACAAAGTAGGTTTTCATGGTGAGCGGTGGTTGCCGAGGCAGGTTGGAAAGAATGAAGGGCGGTCAAGCTAAGACCTGGAATGAGGGTATAAAAACCCTAACCAGGAGACTGGGTGAAATAGGTCCCGTCAGCCTCCCTGGCTGTGGACCCCGAGGTTATGATCACCGATGGTTAGCGACACTGAGCGATATGGCTGGGTGTCGTAGACAGTAGCGCTCATGCATCTACTCATTATTCTTGTAACTTCAGTCTGTGAAAATGTGCTATCTCCCGCTTGAATCTGCTCTCAACATTATAATCATCATTCTGCTGTTTTATCGAAATGGTCAACCAAAAGACAGTAACCAAAACCGGCGCACGAAATTGCATGGTTAATGAATGACCCTGTGAAGTTTGTACATTTCGTATTTCTATACTACTCATCCGTTTTTTAAATTTCATTCCCCTCTCTTTCTCCATCCATCCTCGTGAACTGGAGACCTTCGGTTGTCCTAAGCAGTTATTAACCTGGCTTACTGATTACGTTTCTGGGAGAACTCAATATACCACCTTGGTCGAAAGTAAAAACCATCAGTGAGGTATAGTCCTCATCTTATATTAATTTTCTACGTATATTGGCAACTTGTCTGTTATTGCCCAAATTCTCTCTTCAACTAAGCTGAAGTTGTGGATTTATGTCAGACCATCTACAATTCATCGGACATTTTACAATTTTCTTTTCTTGGATAACGTTCAACAATTTCCCGCTACTTTTGGTTTCATTATTCATCCTGAGAAATGTTTAGGACAAGTTATCACGTTCTTCTTTCCAATCTGATCCGGTATCGATTATCTCTGAACAAGTATCCCGGGCAAACTGCATCAGATACATGGGATTTTTAACGACGATTATCTTCATTAGACCTTTCACATTTAAAACAGCGTCATTCAACTTCCACGACCCTCTTTGCATATCCATAAACTGAGCCCGTTTCGAATTCAACAGTCTGTTATCTCAAAATTCATGTACCAATGTTTTCATTGTTATGTTTTATTGTTCATTTATTGTCTCTTCTAGTCTGTTACAGAAAGACTCTAAGCCGCTTTGACGTGAACTGACCATCATTAGTCATGTTTCTTCAATCTCGCTGGGGAAGTCGATAGCCACACTAAATGTGAACGTCATTTGAGTGCGTGAGAAAAGCTTGCACGCGAGATTCTTATGGATCCAAGTGAGCATCCACTGAGCAGAGATTTGATTTCCTGTTGTGCCCATAAGTCAACTAGATCCTAATACCGTCGTATCCCCTTGCGCCAAAACATACATCGTCAATCTCCGATGCCCTATTCAGAAGATATTCCCGTGAAAAAACAACGCCTTTTCGCCAAATTTCTTGAATTGACAATTTATTTCGTTATTGTGTACATTTTGGAGCGAAGTATGGGCACTACGCTTACAGAATGCCATATTTAAAATTGCAACTACAATTACTGAGAGTCAGCCTTAATGATTAATATGCCGCGTCAGCTATATCCCGTGCTCAGGTTCGAATTTCAATAGACTCGTGGGATTTGCTCCACTGAATTTTTCTAATGCTAACAGAACAGGTTTAAACTTTGTACGCTTACAATAAAGCGACCAGTGAAAGCAACGGTTAACTGAATTTTGTCATCATCATCACCGTAACTAGCTTCATTCCCAGCAAAAAACAAAGTGAAAATGACAGAATTTCACACATATACACACACACGCAAATAACATTGACTAAGACAATTGAACAGAGTGTACCTGTTTATCACTAATTTCGCCATCGCCACTGGACACGATGGACTCTCGAACTGAACTGGTCATCAGAGATTCATAATGGCGTCGGAATTCGTTCAGCGAGACCCGATCGGCGTAACCACTTCGGGCCGCGTGCAGTACTGCGACCAGATTTAATCCGCGCAGCTGAGCCCGGATCAAGTTGACACAGATCCGAGCCGGACTGGCCATCAGATTACCGGGGGCGAGGGCACGCACATCCGGACCTAAAGCCAACGTGGCAGCCGGTTGACTCTGACCGGTGTTGCTGCTTGCAGTCACATCCGCGGTCAGTTGACATAGACCGGCATTGATTACAGGGAGCAGACAATGGATCCAGTGCATACCACAACTGGGACCACCGTCATTGAATCCGGATCCCGGATGATGGAGGGAAGGACCACTGTGAACTTTCGCACAGGCTTCCAATAGTTGTATCACAAAATCCTGCACACGTGATTATATCGAGAATGAAAAAAGAACGTGATGAAGCCAAGGACAAACTTAAAAAAAATTATTAACACAAATTGAAACATTACTTGACATCAGAAACGGAGTTCTATCAGTGGGGGCAACATTGCAATTCAAATTGAAAATGAGTGAAAGCAAAGTCACCTTTAACGACCAAACCGATCTAGATCACGAATGGACAAAACTACATGAAGAAGGTAACATGACATGCGTTGGATATAAATTCTGAAACGTAAGACCGGAAACAGTCGGCTATTACTGGCTCACACAAATACACCAGTACAGAACTGGACATATCCGGGGAAGACGTACCATTTGTCGCCTCGCTTCAGTACACACGCTTGTTTCGGTAAACCAGGTTGGTTTTGCGGGTCCTAAATAATCTTTTTGACTCATCAATGAGGATGTGAGGACCTTTAGAGTTGGGCTGTAAAATAAACGAATGTATGTAAGAATTTTCTTTGNTTGATAGCTGAAATAACGACTAAAATCTACGAGTACACGGAATGAAGTTGTACGCGAATATCCTTGAGAAATTTAGAAAAAAACGATATAGGTGTTCTCGAATTATAAATTCACTTTTTTTATCTTTTAGCTTCTATTCAAAGAATAATAAAAGCATATATCACCTGATCCCTACGTTACCGCCTTACATTAAGAACACTATCAAACTGCGTAAGAATTAGAAGTATTCGAAG